GAAGAGAAGAGAAGAGAAGAGAAGAGAAGAGAAGAGAAGAGAAGAGAGAGCCTGGTGCTTAAGGAGGCCAAGAAAGGGCATGGGGCACCAGGAACTAGAGTTATAATGCTGCCCCATGAGTACTGGGACTCAAACCTAGAACCTTTGGAAGAGCAGCCAGTTGTTTCAATCACCAAGCAATTTCTTCAGGCCCTACAAGAAACTAAAAGAATAAATAAAATCTTACCTTCAATATGCTGACTTTCTGCAACTCTAGATGATTCCATGATTCCTCTTTGGTTAGCCCCTGTACATCCTGAGGCCGAGACAGGACATGGCTATGTGTCTCCATTTTTTCAAGTGTTTTTTTCCCTTCCCTTCTTTCTTTCTCCAATCCTCTTTCTCCTCCTTCTGAAACAGGGGCTCAGGTATCCTTGGTCAGCCTTGAACTTGCTACATAGCTGAGGATTATTTGAACACATTGTCCTCTTACCTCTGATTTCCGAGAGTGCTGGCGTGGTGGGATGGTAAGTGAGTACCACCATGTCTGATTTATGCAGTGCTGGGAATCAAACCCAGGACTTTGTTCATGATGGGCAAGTACTCTGCCGTCTGAGCCACATATCCAGCTCTCCAACATTCTGGTTTTTGTTTATTTTTTAATTTATTTTTATTTATTTTTATTTTTTCTGTTTTTTTTCTTCCTTGTTTTTTTTTTTCTACTCTAGACATCTTTCTTCATCTTTGCTTTGAAGAATGTTAAGAGCTAAGCTTAGATGCTTAGATGACCATCTGTTGCTAAGACAATAAAGATGTACAACTTGACATTTATTTTAAGCCGAAAGAAAAAAAAAGCCAAGGACTAATTCTTGTTGTTTTACTAGACACCAATAAAATCTATAGAAAATTCAACCCGTGTAGTATAGAAGGTTTACAGCTTTATGTATCTAAACCACTAACAAATTCTGTGCTGTGAACACTGCTGAGAAAGAGAGACCCTGAGGTATAACAAAAGCACATTGAGCTTGTAAACA